CCATACATATTGTTCATCCGATTTGTAGTATTTGTTACCCACAGCCGTAATATGCACTCCGTAACAACGATATTCAGGGAAATATATCAAATACAGCTCAGAAATATCTTTGCCAAATTTTATCGAGATCGGTTCAGATTTGGATATAGTTCCCATATATATTTTTATCCGATTTCAAATTAATTTCGCACCAAATGGGCAATACAAGTCCGAATTTAAAAGATACAAATGCTTCGGCATATTTAGTCCTTTGAATTTTAAAAATATAATTATAATCATAGCGTGCAAAGTGGTGTAGGGTATCATAAAATCGGCCCCGCCTGACTTTAGGACTTTCTTTACTGGTTTTCCCTAAAAGCAGCGGTGCTCAAAACCGTGTTCTAGAACATGAGCCGAAAAAAGAGATAATTTAAGAGAAAATTAAAATTCTGTTTTTCGTTATATTTTACGATTCCATTTAATTGTTTTTAAGCATAAATGCTTGCCAAAATAATTTATAAAGCAAATGGATAAAAAATATTTGTTTAAATAATGACAGTGTTAGTCCTTGATTTAAATAAGCAAATAGAAATTTGACCATAAAGAGATATTTTTTCTTGAGCACCGCTGCTAAAAGGTATTCTCTTGCTTTATCTCTCTCTCTCTTTCTGTAGAAAACTCCTTAAATAGTATACTTAGAACGCGTTTCCTCTCGGCAGAAGAGCCTTCCAAGGCATTTAATGGAATAGACGTTTAAAACAACTATTCTCTCTACAACAGTCGTGTGCAGGATCATTGTATTTTAATTGTTCTGATTGTGAGAAAACTACGCCCGCAAGTGGTCCCAATTTAAAGGGTCCTCACCCTTCATATTTTTACGTACGCCTTCCTTCAAATAAGTATGCCTTTGAAAGGTGTCCTCCTCTCTAGTAGGTGTTATCTTATAATAAAATAAATCTAGAATTTTGTTGTTACAAAAATCGTCAGGCTTAATCCCATTATTGTTGTTTTTATAAAACAACATTTGTTTATTAGTGGAGAACGAAATATCTAGAATATAGTTAAAAACAAACCTTCCAACCCTAAGTCTTCTGTCTCAAAAAAAAAAAAAAATTGTTTACGAAAGAGATTCCGGAAGTCTTGGAGTCCATTTCTTTTTAGAAGAGATTCTGGAGGAGTACCTGTAGGTCTTCTCTTTTTAGAAAAACCTCTGACGGTCTTTTGTCCAATTGTGTTTCCTATAGAAAAGCTTTTACATGTCTTTTACCTACAAAAAAAGGTTCTGAAGATTTTCTGTCTATGAAGGAAGATCTTTTGTCAATAGAAGGGTTTCTGAAGGGTTTTTGTTTATTAAAAATCTTCTAAAAGTCTATCCTATATAAAAGAGACTATGAGCGTCCACCATCTATAGAAAAGCTTCTGAAATTTGTATGTTAATGAAGGTGTGAGGTCTATAGAAGTGCTGAATATTTTCTATCTGTTGAATACCTTCTATATAAAAAAGAAATTTTGAACGTCTGACGTCTACAGAGAAACTTCTGGAGGTCTTCTATCTATAAAAGAGATTCTGAAAGTCTTCTATATATAGAAGAGCTCATGAAGCTCTATGAATACTATAAAATAGTTTTTAAAATTTCTTGTGTCTATAGAAGAGCTATTAAAGATTGTTTGTCTATTAAAGAGCTTATTATATTAATTTATCTTTGGAAGAATTTCCCAAGGACTTGTGAATATAGGGGAGCACTTGGAGGTCTTCTGTGTAGAAAATAGCTTCCAAAAACCTATAGCAGACCTTTTAAATGTATTATTTATACAGTAGATTTTATATTTCACTAAAAAACTCCAAATATTTGGGATTTAACTGGAATTTGAAATCCTCTAACAAAAATACAGGTTTTTTTAATGGAACTGAAAAAAAAAAACAACGGAACAGGGAAAGGATTTTTTGATTTCTGCTCCGATTTTTCGACAGTAGGCGGAATCCTTGATGTTGGCAGTACTCATATCGATGATATAAATTTTATTTAGGATTTATAGTCCTTTTGACAGGCTCGTCCTCATTGATTCACTTAAAAGAAAACTAGTCATATTACTCAGTTCCAATCAGTTCGCCTTCCCCATATCTAAGATGGTACCATGCGGTATTATTTGAAAGAATAGAGCAAAAGTTTTGAAATTTGGTATGAGAAAGTTGTAAAGTAAGTTTGATGAAGGCGGCTTGAGAAATGTCTACCAAGTGTGCGAACTGTACAAATGGTACAAAATTAGGTACAGTTTGGTTTAGGGTGAACGAATGAAGCTGGAATTTTGAAATTTTGTGTTGGGGTCCCTGTTAATGGTAGGTTTGTGATAGAGAGGTTTCGAAAACCACTACACTTCCAGTACAGTGCACGAAAAGTACTAAATAGTACTCTATTTGGTACAATTTGGTATTGGGTAAATAAATAGTGCTTGAAATCTAAAAGGGTGTAGCCTAAATATATGGAGGTGGTTTTGTAAATGTGTACTATAGTTGTATGAAAAATACTAAAGAGTACTATATTTGGTATTGAGGGAAAGAGATAGAGATAATATTCCGAAATTTGATATTTAGATTACTGATGGTATCTGTATTTGCGATTTGGTGGATATTTGGAAATACGTCCTATATTTGTACGAAAAGTACTAAATACTAATACTAATTTTAGATCACTTTCTAGGATGCTTTGAATGTGCGTACTAAACGTTACTAAATTTTGTGAAGAGGTAGAGCTGAAATTCTAAAATTGGATATTGAGGCCACTGTTGGTGTCTGTGATTAAGATGTGGATGTGGTTTTCGAAAGTGGATTAAGATGTGGATGTGGTTTTACTAAATTTGGTATTATATGAATGTATAGAACTGAAATCTAAAAGATTGATACTGAGGTCTCTCTTGGTATCTGACGATGAGATGTTGTAGTGGTTTTGCAAATACGTACTATAAATATCCGAAATGTTCTAAATGGGTCACTATTGATGTCTAGAATGGAGAGATGAATATTGTTTTGGACAAGTGTACTAAATGTTAGCAAATATGGTATTTGGTGAATGGATAGAGCTTAGATTCTGAAATTTGATATGGAGACCACTTTTGGTTTCTGGGGTTTACACATGGAGACGTTCAAATAGTTTTTGATAGAAAATATGGGCCCATTGATTTGGTTTAGAGCATAGGTTTTACTTATATCCTCCTACATAAAATTCGAAATTAAATATTTTGAAAACTTTTTGGAGTGAAAAGTTAACAATTTGCTATTAGTCTCTCCGAAAAAGGAAAAACTTCAATGATATACAAAAACCTTATAAATCTGAAAAATTTACCACGAGTTATAAAATTTTGATTAAAAATGTTTGTCAAACCAAACAAATTGTGAATTTTTAGTAATAACAAGATAAAAAGCATTAAGTTCGGCCGGGCCGAACTTTGAATACCCTCCACCATTTGGAACTAATTAGGAAGTTTAAAAAAAATAAAATCCTTAAACAATTCTGTTAAAATTTTAAAAATACCGAATATAGCCGTTATTTTGGGGTCTATACGATGTGGACCTACATAGGCATTGTTTTCATTAGCCATTACCATATTCAAATTCAAACTTGAAATAAACGGTGAATAATGTAGCTAAAATCATCAAAATATCGTATATAGGGAGGTACAGTTATATCGGAGCTGTGCGAAGACCTGGACCTGCATAGACAATTTTCTGTCGCAGGCTGTAGCATCCATTGCAAACTTCAAATAACACATCTCAAACAATTTCGGTGGATATTGTACCTAAAATCGGCAAAATACCGAATATAGAGAGGTACCGTTATATGGGGGCTATACGAAGACCTAGACCTGCATAGACATTTTTCTGTCACAGACTGTAGTTCCCATTACGAACTCTAAATACGTAATTTGAAACAATTCGGATGAATAATGGAACTAAAATCATCAAAATACCGAATTTTGGGAGGTACCGTTATATGGGGGATATACGAAGATGTGGACCTGCCCAGACAATTTTCTGTCTTAGGCTGTAGTATCCATTATGAACTTCAAATACCAAATTTGAAACTATTCCGGTGAAAAATGACGCCAAAATCATCTAAATACCGAATATCGGGAGGTACCGTTATATGGGGGATATACGAAGACGTGGACCTGCACAGACAATTTTCTGTCTTAGGCTGTAGTATCCATTATGAATTTCAAATACCAAATTTGAAACTATTCCGGTGAAAAATGACGCCAAAATCATCTAAATACCGAATATCGGGAGGTACCGTTATATGGGGGCTATATGAAAACGTGGACCTATATGGCCCATTTTCAATACCAAAAGTCCTGCAGACATAATATACATTTGAGCAAAATTTTTTCAATCTACTTCAATTCGTGCGGAAGCTAGAGTGATTTCCACAGACGGACGGACATCGCTAAATTGACATAGAATTTTATGCTGATCAGGAATATGTATACTTTGTGGGGTCTAAAATTTCGAGGTGTTACAAACGGAATGACAAACTTAATATACCCTCCATACTATGGTGGGGGGGTATAAAAAGGCCTAACATTTTGAGTACTAAAAAGGCCAAACACGAACTGTTGGAATGAATCTTTTAAGATGAACTTTTCGTTGACGAAGTAGACGGTACTTGCTAGTCACGAATATTTTGATAAAAGTTTTGAATAGAGGGACGAGGCATAAAATGTTAATCATGAAACTTCAATTATATTCGAATTTTTGCTCTATCTTTAACCTAACATGAAATATTCTACCTTCCCCACGCCTTGACCACGCCATTTGCTACATCATTTCGTTTTCTGCCCCCACCCCCACCAATTAGTGGTGAATTATACACCACTTATTTCTGCCCAGCATATGGGTTGTTAATCACGCTCGAGTTCCACCTTGCTTCCCTTTCAATACACTCAAACTTAGTAATACCTTAATGTGTGGTCTTCTAATTTCTTTTCTTTATTTCTTCTACGTTTTCATTCCATTCGTTACTTACCAAAATCTTTGATATGTTTCTCCAGTCTATCGTTCTCTTCTTGCGATGATATGCTTGCCAAGTGCATGCCATGATAACGACAATATTGTGTGGCCTTAAACCAATTTGCCTGGAATTGGAAAAAAAAGAAGAAGAAATGAAAACAAAAAAAACGAAATTGAGAATGCATTTTAAGTTTTTTTTTTTTTCACTTTATTGTGAGTGCAGCGTTTTGAAAATGAAAAAAAACGTAGAAAAAAAGGGAAATTACATTAATGTCCCGGCCATGATGAAAACTGTTGCAATCGACGAAGGCAGCAGTTTTCATTCATTTCGCACTTTGTGGAAGGGGAAAGCTGGATGGGTGGGTGAAGGAAGCAACCATTGGATGGTTCGTTGCCTGGATTAATGTCATGTGACATACTGTTGACAGTGAAATAGAAATTACATTTTCATTAAAACGTGACGCCTGTGCTGCGCGCTCTGCTCCACTTTGCCAGGAAACATTTTCCGCCAAGAGCTGTTAGCTGGTGAAAAGCAAACGCTGACAAACTTCATCAAAAAGGGAAATGTGCAAAATGTGTCAAACATAAAATGCATATCAATGTCAAGTGTTCAACGCTTGATGCATTATTTCTCAAGGGGTGGAGGGTGGAGAGTGAGTGTTCTAGAAAAAAAAACTTAAATGGCAGCATTTAATTAGAAAAATGCCCGAAGCTTATTAAACTTGGGAGTCAGACAGAGACAAATAAATTACAAATAAACAAGATTCTTTTTTCAAAAAGGCACATAAAGGCGGAATTTATTTATGCGGCGCCTATCTAAAACATTTGTAATAATGGATCATACAAAGAATTTACGGTGGATTTGCATAAAGCTCGAATCCTATGTATAATAGCTTTACTTTAAATATATCACGAATATGGCTTTGGTGGTCCTGAAAAATTCAATTTCATTTTCGATTTTTACACCCTCCACCATACTATGGAGGGTATATTAATTTTGTCATTCCGTTTATAACTCCTCGAAATATTCATGTCAGACCCAACAAAGTATATATATTCTTGATCAGCGTAAAATTCTAAGACGATTTCGCCATGTCCGTCTGTGTGTCTGTCTGTCTGTCTGTTGTAATCACGCTATCTTTTGAACAAATTGAGATAGAAGGCTAAAATTTTGCACACATGTATATTTTCCCAGTAGGCAGGTTAAGTTCGTAAATGGGCCATGTAGGTCCAAGTTATCATACAGCCCCCATATAACGGTACCTCCCGATATTCGGTATTTTGATGGTTTTAGCGATATTATTCACCGGAATTATTTCAAATTTGGCATTTGAAGTTCGTAATGGATACTACAGCCAAAGATAGAATATTATCTGTGCAGGTCCACGTCTTCGTGTAGCCCCCATATAACGGTACCCCCCGATATTCGGTATTTTGACGATTTTAGCGACATTGTTTACCGGAATCGTTTCAAATTTGGTATTTGTAGTTCGGTATTTTTAAGATTTTAACAGAATTTTTAACGGGTTTTATTTTTTGGAAATTGCCAAATTTGTACCAAATGGTGGAGGGTAATAAAAGTTCGGCCCGGCCGAACTTACAGCTTTTTTACTTGTTATACCTTCTACCATATAGCTAGCCTCATCGAAATAATGGTTTTAGAGCCTAGGTCTCTTTGGAGCAAATCCGTTTCAGGACATTTGGAGTCGATCTAGCGATGTGCGCCAGTCTTTCTGTCTAGCTTACTGGTGCACGATGATTCTCGAAGGAAGTATCCGATTTGGTCCAAACTTGGTACATCGTAATATTATTATCAAACTTAGATTGAATTCGGTGACGGACAATATCGACCCACTCCTTCTGGAACCTAACCCAAAAAAGGTCGAACTTTTAATGAAAATATGATGACCAAGATTAAGTTCGGAGCCGAACAATATCGGCCCACTCCTTCTGGTACGTCCCCCACAAAAGGTCGAACTTTTCAAAAAAAAAAAAAAAAAACCAGTAAAGAAAGTCTTAAAGTCGGGCAGGACCGACTTTATGATACCCTACACCACTTTCCTAATTTAGTAGAGCTCCACATAACATTTAAAAGTTTTTATGGGAGAATTCAATCATACACGCTATGATTATAATTATAATTTAAAGTCCAAAGGACTAAAAATGCCGAAGCAGTTGTATCTTTTAAAATCGGAATTGTATTGCCCATTTGGTGCACAATTAATTTGAAATCGGATAAAGATATATATGGGAGCTATATCCAAATCTGAACCGATCTCGGTAAAATTTGGCAAAGATATTTCTGAGCTGTATTTGATATGTTTCCCTGAATATCGTTGTTACGGAGTGCATATTACGGTTGTGGGTAACAAATATAACAAATCGGATGAACAGTATATATGGGAGCTATAGCTATATCTGAACCGATCTTCACCAAATTTGACATACTGGCTTCTAGACTCAATTCGGTCGTATGTGCCAAATTTCATCCCATTTGGGCAAATATTAGACGTTTGGTGCACAATTAAAGGCAAATCGGACGAAGTTATATATGGGAGCTATATCCAAATCTGAACCGATCTCGATAAAATTTAGCAAATGTATTTCTGAGCTGTATTTCATATATTTCCCCAAATATTGTTGTTGCAGAATACATATTACGGCTGCGGAGGACAAAAATAACAAATCGGATGAACAATATATATGGGAGCTATAGCTATATCGGAACCGATTTCGATCAAATTTGTCATACTTATTTTCAGGCCCAATTTGGTTGTATGTGCAAAATTCCATACAATTCGGGCTGATATTACACGTTTGGTGCACAAAAATAGGTAAATCGGACGAAGATATATATGGGAGCTATATCTAAATTTTTACCGATTATCTCCAATTTCAATAGAGTTCGTCCTTGGGCCAAACAAATGATCTGTGCAAATTTTCATCTGGATCGGGCAATAAATGCGATCTGTACTTTGTTTACAAAAATACATGGACAGACGGACGGACGGACGGACATGCATAAATCGACTCAGAATGTGATTCTATGCAGATCATCAAAAGGAACTATGGGTCTATATCGTTTCCTTTTGCCTGTTACAAACAAATGCACAAAGACATAATACCCTGACCACCTTGTGGTGTAGGGTATAAAAATTTACTGCACAGAAAGAGAAAGGATAACCCGATTTTGCTCCAACTTTGCAAATCCTAATATTTTTCTCATTACTAGGTGAGGTGCGAAAATGGACAATATCGGTCCACTGCATCAAGTACCTCTTATAAAAGGTGATGTATGAGACCAATTGTCTTCAAATTACTCGAATAACGAGATTTTTATTAATCCTGAAATTTGATATGGATGTGGTACTAAGTTTGGTATTGGGTGAAGGAGTAGATTTGGTACTAAATTAGGTATTGGGTAAATGGATAATGCTAGAATCTCGAAATTTAATATTAAGGTCTCTGTTTTGTATCCGGTGTTGAGATCTGGTGTGGTTAGGCAAATGCGTACTTTAATGGTTCAAAAAGAACTAAATGGTACTAATTTTTGATTTCTGTTGGTGTCTAGGAAGTTTGACCCCCACAAAAGGTCAAAATGTTGAACATCCATTTGGCACATAAAACGGGAAATTAATATCCTATTCCATTCAGACTTGGCACATCTCAATATTTCCATCAACACAAGATCTGTGATAAAGATTGTAGAGATCGGACCATTTCTTCTGGTACCTCTCCCACATAGGGCTCAAGATTTTAAAAACAAAATGCGCAAAGAAAGCGAAATAAACATCCAACTCTCTTCAAATGTCAAACATACAAACATTTTTTGCTAATACAAGATCTGTTGTCAAGATGATATATATCTGTGAACCCCTTCTGTTACCTGAACCACAAAGAGTCACAATTATTAATACTTCTATCTGTCATAACTTGAGGAACAAGTCAGCGAATTTTTACAACTTGCTCTATTTAAATATTTCCCTCAACCAGAAACCTGAGATGAATATGGAACTTATAATTTCCCATAAAATCGTATACAAAAATTCTCCAAAAATCCATTAAATCCATACAATTATCATATCCCTCAATTGCAACAGAGAAAGGACCTTTTCTACTGGGGCATTAAACGTCACATTTCCATGGCAATCCATTGACAATGCAAGTCATTAATGTTCATTTTTCGAAATGTAGTCATTGGTAATTAATAATCATTGTGACAACATCAACGACATCACGGACATCGACTCCAAGGATACACAATGGCCATTCAATAGACAGTTATGGTTTAGTTACAAATATGCACTCACTCACACACACGCACACATCATGGAGGTCCTTATGCAATGGCAACGATTGAAATGTGTTTCGTAATTGATCAATGATTCTTCTCACAGTCACTTTGCATCACATAATGTCAGGTGTCAGATACGAACATGTCAATAATTTATAATGGGTTAGAGTGTGTGTCTGTGTGTGTGTGTGTTATCTCAAAAAGGATTTCATTAGAGATGTGTGAGCAGCACTTGGAAAAATTAAATGATTAATTTCAAAGTAATGGGGGGTCTTGAAATATTACTATTTTTTTTTTTTTTTTTTTGGGATGTATTATGTCAAAAGATCTTAAATACAACAAGTAAAAAAGCAGTAAGTTCGGCCGGGCCGAACTTAAATACCCTTCACCATTTGGAACGAATTAGAGAATTTTCAAAAAAAAATTAAAATTTTTAAAATACCTAATATCGGAAGGTGCCGTTATATGGGGGGATTTACGATATTGTGGACCTATAAAGACAAATCTATGTCTGCGTGTAAAGTACTCACAAGGAAATCCTTGTGTGGATTTTCCGATAATTCCATTGGGAAATGTGGCTAAAATTATCAAAATCCCGAATATCGGGGGTGAACCGTTATATGGGGGATATACGATATTGTGGACCTATATAGACAAATACCTTTCAGGGGTTAAAGTGCTCACAAAGAAATCCTTGTGTGGATTTTCAGACAATTCCGTTGAAAAATGTGGCTGAAATCATCAAAATACCGAATATCAGAGGGTATCGTTATATGGGGGCTATACGATATCGTTAACCTATATAGAGAACTCTATGTCAGGGAGTAAAGT